CGCCCCCGCTTGGCCGCTTTGCTCTTCGCCGTGGCGGAGGCCACTATGGGCGGGTAGAGCGGGCCGGGGGGCTGCGTGGGGACAGCGGACTCCATCTGGGAGCACCAGCGCCGGCCGTGCCACAGCACCCGCCGCGCCCCGGACGCCGCCATTTCGCGGAGCTGCCAGGTAGCGGAAAGGCGGTGCTCGGCGACTGGAAAACCTGATTGGCCGCCGGGAACCACGTGAACGAGCCAACCTTCCAATCGACAAGCGCCTTCGAGAGCGAGGGTGCGCGCGCTGCCGAGACAGGAAAGGGCGGGGCCGTTTAGGATTCGGGTCGCTGGATGGCGGCGCTCTCCCCCGCAGCGCGGAGCAGCTTGTGCGCATGCGCAATAGACGTGAGGACGCCACCGGCCTCCCCTGAGACGAGAACTACAGCTCCCAGGATGCACAGCGGGAGGCAGCCCGGAAGTGCCGGGGCCGTGGCGCGTGCGGCTCGGCCGTGGCAGCCGCAGCGAGGAGGAGCATTTACCCGCTTTCATTCGGGAGAACAGCATTTTTGAACGGATTTCCTACGTGCTCGCCTTCAGGAGACAGTGCCCCCCGCCCCCCGCCGCTTGGGAAGACCGACCGCTCTCATACAAATGACAGGGATAAATTCTCTCTGAAATAACAAAATAGATTGAGCCCGTTTCTGTGCAGAAACACTGCTAAGAACAAAGGATTTTGTACAAACCAAGAACTGTAGCGGACACAGGAGAGAATCCGTTGACAAAACCTGGAACCTTGCGCATGCGTGACTCGGCCTGGGGCGCGAGGAGCACTCGCCTGCCTGATTGCACCCGTCAGTGTGAATCCTGGGCTCCTGTGCTCCTGTGCTCCTTTGCGCTGGAGGAAAGTCTCGTTTTTACACCATAGCGGGCACTCACAGCACTGGGTGTAAACTGAAATGGCAGCTTGTGGGAAGATGCAAATGCTGGCTTTAAGAAAGGAATTCAATTCTGCTAAAATATCTGTTATGGCATGTGCTTATGAAACTGGAAATAAGCTAAAACTGGCATACTGGCACTGCAAGGAGTGCTATGGATACTGCATTTTTGTCTTTAAGATGCTTGGAAAAGTTGAGCGTATTTCTCTTTGGTGGACAGATGAAGCTTACTGTTTATTATTCTTACAAGTTTTCTTCTTTCATTATTTTTTTCTTAACTTGGTCACTCACAGAATGCTTGGGAGATTTTTTTTTTCTGTATTTCCATGACATTTTTGTATTTGGGACAGGAGACACCTTGCATGCATCCCAGATAACCTGCTCCCTTTCTTTAACTTCAGCTTAGCTTTCTGCTGAACTGATGCTCAGAGCTGCCATGGTATTTGGACGAATGTTTCGAATGCATGACAAAGATTGAAACCCAGTGTTTGGGTTGAGATTTTCAAAGAATATAGAATATAAAACCATCGTCTTCTTTAAGAGGTAGTAATATAGAAATTAAAATACCTTTACTTAAGACTCACAAGGTATTTCATAAAAAGCAAATTTCAGTGTTAAGGTGCAATTCAGTTAAGTATCAAATGCTTAAACTTTACATGTTTAATTGTGGATCCAGCCACTCTCTTCAGAAGGGTGAGGGGACAAGGCCTTAGATCAGATGACCATTTAAGGAGCAGCCTCCCTCCTTTTCCTTATCCCACATACTGCAGTCTCCACATGCATCTGGAAACCTGGTTTTCCTTTGATTGATAAAGGACACTGGCCAAATGTGGTCAAGTTACTGAATCTTTTCCCTTGTGATCACAGCCAGTCATGTCATAAACTTACACAGTCTGTTACGGAAAATCACCGTTACTGTTCTTAGGCGTTTTGCTGCTGCATCTCCTGTTTCAAAGCTTGTTTCCTTTGGTGGTTAGGAATATTCTTGTTTCATGCTTAAATGTATTCATGGTCAATTTATACCTGTTTGTCATGCCAAGATTGTCATTTAGCTTAATTAGCATTTTTTCCCCTCTAATGTTTGCCTTCTAAAATATTGATGGACACCAGTCGTATCACCTCTCAGTCCTCATTGACAGAAACTAAACAAGCTAGTCTCACACAGACAGGTCTCCATTTCACATATCATCTTAACAGCCCTGACTTGCATTTCCTTCAGTTTTGCATTTGTCTCTGGGATACGTGACCAGACTGTACCCATTATTTCATACAACGGACTGTATTACCCTCACCAGGATTACTAACATTTTATCATGGTTTAAAAACTTTTTCATTATATTGTCAAATCAGAATTGCCTGCCTTGCAGCTGTACAACAATGTGAACAACTTTTGCATAGGATGTTTTAAATACTCGAGAAGTTCAATACAGAAACTGAATGTAAGTGATGAAGCAAGGGAATGTTTAAAGGACCATTTTATTTTCCCTACTTTATTCAAAGGCTATAAATGTTCCCTGCACCCTGATACTGACTGTAACATTAGAGAAGAAGTGACAGGAACCAGTGCTATGCGTTAACCTACACTTAAAATCCCCGGACTATCTACTGATGTTCTGGTCACAGGTCAATTTTACTTGCTTGGTGTACGTTGTAGTCTCATTCATCTTGATGCAGGAGCTGCAGCGGCTTGGATAAAAGGACTCAGTAGTCAATCTGGTTAAAACTAGTGGTATACTTTGCTGAAATGTCTATCATAAGCTTTTAAGAAAAATATCCATCCATAGATCTCTCGCTTCGAAAAAGCAATCCAACAGTTCAAAAAGGATCTGTTTTCCTTTTTTATTGAAATAATCCCTATGCAATATCCAAATTATCCTAAACCTATAAACACAGAGCATCTTTATGTTGGTTCAATAAATGCTTAAGAAGAGCCTGGTTTAGAAAACTCATACGCTGTCTATAATGTCCAATACAATTGCTAAAGCAAATACCATATCCTTGAAATAAATCTCTAAAATTGAAACTAGAAAAAAAACCCTGCATCTCAGTTCCAGCATGAAGGTCATTTGACACAGCTGGTTAAAAGCCCAAAAGTAGTTCAGAAATTAGTGCAGTTCACCTTATTGAACCTGATCTGTCTGTTTCTGAAACTCAGAAATGAGACAAAGTATGTTAAATGTACTCGCTCAGAGATGAGGTTGCATAGACATTACTTACTGGGCAGGCTCGGTGTCTCCTGTATACCAGTGTACAAGCTGGTTAAGTGCACACGCTTCTTCAGTAACCCTCACCAGAAGTGCAGGCACAGCCCAGATGGGACCACAGGGGACACAGGATGGAGGCATGTCTTATTCAAGGTCCAGCAGCAGATGTGAGGTCTGACTCTGCTTCACCTGGCCGTGGTGGGGTTGTACTGTGTCCCGTGGGAGTTGCTGCCACATCTCCGGCCTCAGAGAAAGAGTTCAGCCATTGCAGCTGCTAAGCCTGTTCTATACCTGTGCTGTGGTGCTGGCACCACGCACCTGCTCAGAGACTTGCATCATATATGAGAAGGCAGAGAAAGGAGATAACAGTGAGATTGAAGCCCTTCAAATTAGGAAAAGGGAGCCACAAGATAGACATGGGTTTTGTTGTACATACTCTAGTTTTATTCTGCAGCAGTCAGACCTGTGGCACATCAGAGAACATGCTGAGGTTTGGTGATGTCCTATTCCAATTCTCTTAGAAAGTTAGTCCAAAGGTACACCAGAAAACAGGCTGGAAGTCAGTTGTGGAAAGTTCATAGTGAAGAGTCTGTAGAGCTGTGAAAAACAAAGTTACTGATCAATACCAGGTATTCCTCTTGTAATAGTATCTCAAGACCTTGGAGGAAGGCTGTTACATTGTACTAAACATCACATCCTATACTGCATAATAAATAAAGTGGTTCTTCATTTTGCAATGTACTTCTCAGTAGATTAGGCTGTAGAGAAGACGAACACTCTACTCTTAGGTTAATGGTATGGGGCAAACAACAAATTATTATTCTAACCAATTCAGTTTTGCTTTACAGTTTCTGCAGAAGCTGCAGTGTCATTCAATGTCTCTTTTACTCTGGGGACAGATTTTGGACAAGGCATATCCCTTCTTCCTGGTGCTTATCTTCGAGGATTAGAACCAGATTTCAGCCAAACAGGAATAGCTCCAGGTTTGACCAGTTCAGGTTTAATTCCCTGCTTTGCCACATGTTTTGTTTCTGACTCAGGGCTAGGTCCACAAAAGAACTTTGGTGAGGCCTCTGCCTCACCCTTTCATGCCTACTTAAAGGTCTGACTAGTAGTGGAACCTGCCTTTTTACTGCCAAAGTTAATAGACTAACCCAAAATGTTCGAAATATTTCAAAACTGGAAGGAATAGATCTCTCCAGAAGTCTTTTATACCATCTTACTAGCCCAGTTCTCTTTAGAAGACATCTTAAAATTTTAAAGTTCATTGTTCTTCAGAGCAAGTGTGATATTGGATACAAATTGGAGAAAATGGAGACACGCTGGCTACACTGGCGCACGGTTGAAGTCTCACAGAGATGAGCCAGTGGCTCCTGAGGTAATAGGGGCCAACAGGGAAACACCAGTGAAAGACCTCAGAGGAATTAGGGGGTGTTGCTCTAAGAAGATGACACAGCCGACAGCCCAGCTGAAGTGCCTCTACACTGATGCACACAGCATGGGCAACAAACAGAAGTTGGAAGTCACTGTGCTGCTAGAAAGCTATGACCTAATTGCCCTTATTGAAACTTGGTGGGACAAATCCCATGACTGGAGTGCAGCTACAGGCTGTTGATGGCTACAGGCTGTTCAGAAGGGACAGGTGAGGCAGGAGCGGTGGAGACATCTGGAAATGGATAGAGTGTGAAGAGCTGTTTCTGAAGAATAGCTACGAGGATGTTGAAAGCTATGGGTAAGAATCAGAGACTGAGGCAACAAAGGAGTCCTGTGGTTGGTGTCTACTACCAGCCGCCTGGTCAAGGGGAGCCTGCTGACGAAGCATTCTTCCTCCAGCTGCAGGACACATGATGCTTGCAGGCTCTTATCATGCTGGGGGACTTCAACCACCCCAGCATCTGCTGGGAAAGTAGCACGGCGAGCTGTAGGCAGTCCAGGAGACTCCTAGAATGCATTGAGGATAACTTCTGAAGCCAGACAATATGCAGACCTACCTGAGGGGATGCGATACTGGACCCGCTGGTCACCAAAACAAGTGAGCTAATTGGCAACATCAAGATTGCGGGCAGCATGGGCCGCAGTGATCACAATGCATTGAGGATAACTTCTGAAGCCAGACAATATGCAGACCTACCTGAGGGGATGCGATACTGGACCCGCTGGTCACCAAAACAAGTGAGCTAATTGGCAACATCAAGATTGCGGGCAGCATGGGCCGCAGTGATCACGCACTGGTGAAGTTCACAGTCCTGAGGGAT